TGGTGGTCCCATGGGGTGCCGGTATGGGTGGAGCAGTGGCCATTGCCTGAGACAAAGCTACAGGCCTTAAAGGAAATTGTGTAGGAGCAATTATGGTTGGGCCACATCCAGCCTTCTATAAGTCCATGGAACATGCCTGTCTTTGTTATTAAGAAAGCCTCTGGTAAGTGGAGAATGTTGCAAGACTTGCAAAAAGTCAATGCTAGAATGACCCTAGTGGGTACACCCTTAAGGGGACTGCCTTGGATCCTTGCTATTCCCTCAGATTTTTTTTTTTTATAGTTACAGGCATTAAAGATTTTTTTTTTCTATCCCTCTACAACCCCAGGATTGTGAAAATTTTGCTTTCTCTTTACCTTCCACCAACTTTAAAACGCCTGATGAGAGGTATGAATGGACTGTTTTACCCCAAGGTATGGCCAATAGTCCAGCATTCTGCCAAAGCTATGTGAAGACCCTTTTACGGCCTGCTCACTTGCTGCCACATGCCACTGTGTACGTTTATATGGATGATATAATCTTGGGAGCCCCAAGCCCCCAACAATTAGAAGAGTTATATAAGGTTACTCAGAAATGTCTACAGACAGGCAGACTCCATGTATCCGCTGATAAAATACAGACTATTGCTCCCTTTAAAATTCTGGGAACCACACTCTCTTTGGAAGGAGTAAGTCCTTTAAAACCACAACTGGCTGTCAGGCCCACCGTAACCCTGACAGAACCACAAAAATTATTAGGAGAAATTAATTGGCTATGAGCCTGGATGCCTATTCCCACTGAGACTTTAAGACCACTGTTTCGGTTGCTAGTAGGGAAACAGCCTTCAGAACTAATCACCTGGCTCCTCAACACCTGGACATCTTACATGAGGTCCAGGATGTCCTGGACTGAGCCCAACTTGCCCAGTACACGCCTAGTAAAGATCTTGAGTTATGGGTACTCTCCGGTGAGACCCTGATGACATCCGTCCTACGCAGGATGGAAAGGCCCTTCAATGGTTGCATGCCTCTCTGGGAGGCGTAACGTGGGTTTATACACCCATGGATCAATTGGCTGACCTGATTGAGAAAGGACGTGATGTAGCTCTGAGACATTATGGCATAGACCCTTTTAAAATTGTTATCCCTTATTGGCTTAGGGATTTTGAATGGCTCTGCAGAAATAATATCCGAGTGGCCATAACCTTGGAAGGGTTCCTGGGAAATTTGGACTGTCATTATGGCCCTCATAAATGGGTGACCTCCTTTCGTGCCCTCTGTTGGGATGCCCCCCGGCTCTTTGTCAAGGAGCCGTTAGTAAAAGCCTATAATGTTTACACTG